TTTCTACGATATATGTCATGTTTTTGTAAAATTTTGATACTTTAATTAGATTCGCCCCCCTTAATTTTTTTGTTGAACATTGCTCCCCTTAACTTTTAGTTTTTAAAATTGATATATAGTCTTACATAATGTAATACTTAATCGGAGATTTAAAAGGAACATCTAAAATAATTTACATAACTTAAATAAACAATAGAAGAACTCATTATTTGAGATTTAGGATACTTATTATATAAAAAATAAGTAGTTTTGTAATGTTTAATTATCTTTATTCGATAACTAGTAAACAATTTTGAAAAATATATATCAAACGATATTAAATACCAGACACTCTAGCTACAAAGTTTTTAGATCATGTGAAGTAATCCAAATTATAAATATTTATTGACATTGAATTACACTATTCATTTACTTCTTACATTCTAAAAAGACTTTATTGCATAGATAATAAACTTTAATTATTTTAGCATTAATTCAAATATAATATGCACTATATATATAAATTATCAATATAATATTATTCTAAAAATAATAATATCATACATACTATTGTAATATTAAAAGAACTGCTTGTGACTTATGAACACCCTCAATGATAGACAAAAATTGTAATTCAAAAATCAATTCTTTATTTCTATAAGACTCATGTAGTTAAACAATGTTGAAATTATTTTAAAAATACTCGTGAATGTGAACCTTATAATTAAACTCTTTAAATTTAAATAAAATGTTATATATCCTTTTTTATTTTTGTATTATTTTCCATTGATTTGTCATTTCTTATGCTTTAATGTATCAATACTTTTTTCTAGAGCACTCCAATTATAAAATTAAAGTTATTTTGTCATTGTCTAAACTTAGAATGTAATATATAGATTTAAATGTCGTCACGTATGTATTAATGAAATTTTTTTGAATAAAAATAGCCGCATAGCCTTACACTAGTGAAAAAATTCGTCCCGCTACACTAGAAAAACAATTCACCCCGCTACACTAATGAATTTTTTATCTCCTACACGGCTACACTAACGAAAATTTTCGCCCCCCTTGACTCGAAATCCTGGATCTGTCCCTGCCTCCACATATATTACTACTCCCTTACTCAGTATTAGTTAAAGGATATGTATAGTATGTAGAATGAGGAGGGGACATAGGCGTGCTCATTTTTCAACTTATGTTGAACAAATCATCATTATATCTATTGATGAAAGTAATTGTATTTGTGCAAGACGCTTAAGATATACTCTTAGGATTAAATAAGTATCAAACAAGTTGACCGAATGTAATTATTAAGCTTGAGACACAATTCCACAAAAAGTAAAAGAACTTCACCCTAAAGCTCTTTTGTAGAATTTGTTAATGGCGCATCTTTTTTAGTAATCTACACATTAAAATTTGCAAGTAAAATCATTATATGCAAAGTTTATACAAACAATCACTTTACATATAAAATAAAAATTTGATTAAATGTGTAATTTAATTTAAATTACCCGCAAAGTCACCATAATGCTTTGTAAAAAGCATGTAAAGTTTTTGATACCATGTCGGACGTAAGATATTTTAAATGGTGGTACATAAATATGTAAGAAAATGTTACTCTCTCCGTTCCTAAAAGAACTTCCATTTCGCTTTTCGAGAGTTAACTTAAATCACTCTTAAACTTTTACTTTACATATCAAAATTTTTATGAAAATTGAATTATTTTTTGGAGGCTTTGTAGGGATTTTAATGTAATTTCTAAATATGTAAATTTTATCTATTAAAAATAATCCAAGTTTTTACAAGGATCGTTTAACTTTATCGCTGATCAAATTTCGTAACCCGGAATTGAAAGAACTTTTAAGGACGGAGCTAGACAGTATACAATTTAAATTAAGTAACTAATCCTCACTTTACCAATTCCTCTCATCATAAATATTTCTTATGACACTACAGACACTTTTTTTGTGCATACACGATATACATACTAACTAACATACATACATACTAGATCACGCACAAAAACATCGTGGCCACATACATGATGATAGATGTTATGTAGTCATGTAAATGTTTATCAAAGCAAATATGAAAATTATGTCTATTAGGGTGTGATTATAATGTAGTATTCCTGTATTAGTTATATAAAGGTGTTTTCAGTGTAAGACCAGACCAAATCGGATCATATCAGATCAGATCAGACCAGACTTGGATAATTATAAAATACATAGGAACCAAACTTTACCTGTTCAGACCAAATCAGACCAGTTTAGATCAAACCGGATCAGTTAGACCAGACCCAGAAAATTTTCGTTCAAATAAAAACATTGTAACTAATACTAACCGGTGGACGTAGCTCAACTGATAGTAAGGGAGTGCCACAAGGGTTAGGTCCCGGGTTCGAATCCCGGCAACTGCGATGAGAGGTTACAATGCTAAAAATGCATAGGGCTTCTGCAAGTAACGGGAACAGAACCCCACTTTCTATCTGTCGGATTGGGTTTATAATCCAATTTACATCTTTCCAACGTACCGTCCGGTCGGAGTTGGGGGTCTCAATAGTATATCATTCTTCTCAATAGTCATGATTAAAAGTTATCTACACCGTATTAAATAAGAACTAATAGAAGTCAACACATGTGAATGTGGCTATTTGTTTCTAAACTCGGCTAACCAATAAAATAGAGAGAAACTTTTTTTCCTAGTAAAAACAAAAATAAAAAATAGCGACATGCTTACATTTGAATCTTGTCTTTGACATACCTAGTACAAATATCATTTCTTCGAATCTTTGAACAATAATGACTGAAAGGACACTAGCTGTCTCCTAATGTTCCGTATGATAAATCACGAGAGTGGATTCCTTTTTCTTCAAAATTAGAATGCAAATATCAAATTGTGAATTTTTAAATAAATCACCAATTGGTTTAGTGGATTAAACATTATTATTACTATGGTTTTACACGTGTAATAATGAGCCTAAATGCAAATTATACTCTATAGCACGCGGGCGCCATGCAAATAGGAACCCCACTTCCATCGTTTTTTGCTTAATTAGTTTATGACAAATATGAAAAGTAATATAATACGGAGTAGTTGTATTTGGTTTATGTTTGTATGTTGGAGAGACAAATGATATGAATAACACATTAGTTACTTGAGAAAGTAGTAAAGTTTTTGGGCATCTTAAAAGAAACATTGAAGAAATCCAGTGAAACAGAGGGTGTGAATGGTCATAGTGAAAACTGAAAAGATATGGAATTATGAGGGTATTTAGATTTGTTTGAATGGAAATACATAAATACTTCTAAATCCTTCAATTTGCTCAAACAATTTTGAAAAAGAGAAAATTACTATTATCCTTTTAGGTTATGTCATTGTTATTAATGCAAACCTGCATTTTTTAAAAATCAGTTAGTTACCCCTGAGTTTTTATCATTCTCACCGTTTAGCCCCTCACTTAATATTTGTTAAATTAAATTTAATATAATTCTCAAACTCAATAAAATGTCTACAGATTTATTTTAAAAGTAACAGGATTTAATATCATAATTATAAGTCATTGTTGTTGATCATTATATTTCTATTTAACTAATTTTGAAATAAGTATTAATGAGAGAAGTGAAGGGAGAAGACCCACAAGTAATATTTATGAGATACAAGTTGTTTAACTTTATTTGTTGAACTATCAACAAGAACTTAATTATCATGCCAATTTCTCATTCACCCGTTATCCGTTTTGAGTGTATCATATATCGAATTATAGCCCTTAACAAGGAGAATTCGAAACCACTTTCACCCGATCCAAATCGGAAGTCGATCCCACTTAAAATATTGCCCCAAATTGACCATTTAGTTCAATTTGTAACACATTTTTCCAACATTACCTCTGACTCGTTTTAAGTGTTTTGATCTGACATAATTATAAATAAAGTTGTTAAAAAAATAAAAACTGTGGTTGAAATTTGTTTATAAATAAAGTATGAAATTTGTTTATAAATAAAGTATTACTACCTCTGTCTCATGTAATGCTTCAAATTTGTTTATAAGTAAATATACTTTTTTATAATTATATTTTGATTAAATAAGTAAACATAATCAAAACTAAACTATTTTGTATAAACATGAAATATACCTGTTTATAAGTAAACATGAATATTTTCAACATGTTGAAGAAAATATGCTTTATTGCCAGAATGGTTCTATTTTGCTAGCATAGACCGTTAGTTGTTCACTTTGACTGTTGAACCTACTAGTTACGGAGTATTTTTTTTTTTTACTTTTTGACTGTTCTTTTAAACTAATGGAATGATACTTTTCTCAATTAAAAAACACCATTTATAAAACTAATGTTGAAAATTGCGAACTGGTCACCCACCGTCAATACCAAACATTTCCAGCCACTGCAAAACAGATTTGTACAAATTAATAGTTCTGATAATTACTTCCTACCAAATTACCAATCACCCTATGTTTATTTGTTCGGAAATACCTTAAATAGAACTAAAAAAAAGTTTATCTATTCTAAAAAATCAATTATCAAGTTTTTATTTCCAAAATAAGAGTAATTATTGTCATGCTTTGGTAGTACCAGATTCTAAACATGACAATATTTTCTAAACTTAGCAGTGATTACTCTTATTTTGAGAATAAAAATATGATAGTAAATAAACTTAACACTTTTCATTTTGGGTAGGTCCAAAATAAACTTCACACTTCTTCTCACTTCCTTATTTGGCAAATTATCTACATCAAAATAGTGCAAAATAGTGTCAAACAGTGTCACAACAGTGTACTATGCGGTAAAGTCAAATTTATTTCTTTAATTTGTGTGAAGTCAAAGTGTGAAGTTTATTTAAGACCAGAGGAAGTATTTTTTTTTTCAAAAATAAAAGAAAAAACTAAATTCCAAAGAAAACATCCTTTACCGAGAAGCTCCTTAGGAACATCATTATTACACTTGTACCCTTGTACACTTTTCCCTCCATATATATACATATACTCAAATTTATATGTATTTATAGAAATAACAGTCATCGTACTCGGAGCGCTGCGAGTGACAGAGACAGTGTTTCTTCATTTTCATGGAAAATCTTTCTCGTTCGTATTCCAAGAGGAGTTACCATGGGAATGGCTTCTCAACCAAAACCAGCAAATCCCCCTACGACGACGTTTTTAGAGGTCCGCCGAAGCTGAGCGCTCATTCGCTCTCTCCCCGCCTCGAAGACTACACAGAGATTTTTGAAGGCTTCCACTCTTCCAGAACTCCCTCTATTCCGATTCTGGATCTCCCGCCGGCCGACGGAGAAGATGAGCTTACTCCTCTCGATGTCCGGAGCGCGCAGTTCGACTACACTCAGATTTTCGGCAGGTTCAATGTGGTGGATTTCGCTCTTTCGTTCGAGGATTTAGTGGAGCAGTCTAATGCTGGCTACAATTCTTCAGAGGGAACATGGTATGATCACCTTACATTTTTCTTCCATTTGCTTAATCAATGTGAACCTAAAGTTTTGACTCTTTTTCTCTCGGCTACTTTTTGCTCACTGACATTATGTTGACTGTTGAGTATGATGGAAGAGATATTTAAGAAAACTGCTTAGGAAAGAGAGTTACTTTTCTGTGTGCTTATCCTGATTTAACTATTTTTTTAGTTCTTCTGGATCAGCATTTTAGTAGAGAACTAGAGACCAATTATTTTGTTGAAAATGAAAGGTTAACATAGGAAAGTAAGTAAGTGGTCCAGCATGTCTTATTGAGAAGCATATTAGTGCAAACATTCTTGGAAGATTTTCATATTGTATTCTTTTTTTGCTAGCTATCTTTGAGGGTTTACAAAGATTTGGGTATTTCAGGAAGGGGTTTTGGCATGGCACACCACACACTTGTTTTTGGTGAAATGGGATGCTTGAAATCTCATAATGTGGGGAAAAGAAATTGCTCCTTGCCCTTCATTAAGGCAAGGAATTTCTTGAAGGGAAGGACGGACAGTAGAAGCCATTTGTTTTTTTCTTTCCCTACAAAATTGTGGGGGATAAAGGAAAACAGCACATGGTCGGGAGAGTATTGTCTATACATTCATACATAGTCTCATTCATTCATGCAATATCTTGGCCATTTGTAGAAGCCATTTGTTTTCTTCTTTCCCTACAAAATTGTGGGGGATAAAGGAAAATAGCACATGATCGGGAGAGTATTGTCTATACATTCTTACATAGTCTCATTCATTCGTGTAATATCATGGCCATTTGTAGAAACATCTTAGTAGCCAGAGGAAAAGAAAGCAAAATCGATTCTCGTAGAGGCGAGTGAAATGGGAGCTACACAACATCTATTTCCTTGAGATGTTTTCACAAAATAATGATCCATAATTTTGTTGTGATCCCAACAGAGAGCCTTCTACTTTTAATAATTCTAATAAACCATGAACTAGATCAGAATCTAAGTAATAATCCCCAGTACAAACTGGTATGATTTTATTCAACGTTTTGTTCGTTTGGGTTTAATTACATTCTTACATAGTCTCATTCATTCATGTAATATCTTGGCCAAGTATATGGTTTTTATTTATGTACAAGATACAGAGTAATATGGTAAACTTCATACAATAGGGGAACCATAACCAATCCTGTTCTTCCATCTCATACTATAGGAGTCCAGGTCAAAGTGGATCTCTGTCAGATGATTCTGATCCTTCTGCTTTTTCTGAAAGGAGTGAGGCCTCGCCTTATGTTAAGCAATTCAACATTTCATCTGCTTCAGATGGGATGTCACACTTAACTCAGTTGCAGACTAACCCTTATCAATTGCCGTCACCAGCAAGACCACCACCTAACGTACCAAACCCACAGCTCAAACCCTCTAAGATTAATCTCGATCAGCCTGAAGGAGGGAAATGCATCAGTTTTGCTGGAAGATTTTCAGAAAGTGAACAGGAAGAAGGTTATTCTGTAGGAACTCAGAAGAGTGTTGAATGGAGGGAAGCAATGGGATTCATTGAAGTGACCGAAATATTCCCACCTCAAGACTCACCTGAGAAATTTAAATATGATAAACAACAAAAGGGGCCAAATGAGTTGGGTGGGGAGGGAGGAGGATCTTATAAGGGGAATCCATATCCATTTGAGCTTGATTTAGATTTGGGAATTTCACATCGGCAGGGTGCATTTTCAGAGTTAAATAACAATGGATGTAGATATGATGTGGACGTAAGAGAATCTGAACTGAATATGGACAAATCCAGAGCGAAACAAAATCATGGATTTGTTAAATTTGACAATGAAAAGAGCATAGCGGGAGAGGAGCAAAAAACAGACACTGAAAAAGAAAAATATCAGGGAAGGTATAACGACTTTGGTGACGAAACAGAAAAAGGAAATGTCACTAACAATGTGATTGTGGTGGAAAAAAGAGACGATCAACAAGAAGTTGACATCGGAGGAAAGGGAAAAGATGGTGAGCAGGAGGTGCCTCTTGCAATGAACACAATTAGAAGCAGAATTGAAGAGTGTCTTTGGGAAGAAGATACCGAGAAGAGAATCAAATGGGGAAGCACAATGAATAAAAAGAATTTGATGATGGGCATTGAGCATGAAGAGCTGAAGGAATGCAAAGAAGTGGCTTGTAATAGAGAGGATCATGAAAGGATCAGCATTGGTTTTAAGTGGAAGCATGGTATCAAGCAATTTCCCACAGCTTCTGAGAAGGAAGAACAAGATGAGATGATATCAGCTGCAACTTCTGAAGTAGAAGCTGATAGCATATTTGAAGAAGACAATGAGGTTGTTGATATGGACTCGATAGTTAAGGATCACAGTAAGCTGCAAGAGTTCAGCGAACATGGAAGAGAATCAGAAATTGAAGTTGATTATCCTCTGATTGGAGGAATACTGAACTCGTCAAGTGAAAAACAAGAGAACTTGCAACACAGAGATGTCAGAAGTCCACCTTGTTTGAATGAGCACCTGCCGAACTCCCAAGAAGTTGGGATCAGCATTGGAAAATTACACCCTAAAAAGGTCACTGCACAAAAGGATTTCCAGTCTGAAAACATAAAACTGACAACTTTTGAAGGGCAAAAGAGAGACAACATTGATGGGTTACAATTCACCATTAAGAAGGAAGTTACCAATGAGAATTTTTCACATCAAGCTGTTAGGAATTGGTCTGAGAGTGGAAAACATGTTCAAGAGTATAGAGAGACACCATCACAGACAGACGAAAGAAACAAAAACAAGAGCTGTGGAAGAGAAGATGTGGCTTTGAATGTAGACAGTATACCTAAGGAGATGGAGAACGGGTATCTAAAAAGGATAGAAGAAGAGAGGGAAAGAGAAAGGGAAAGAGAAAAGGACCGGATGGACATCACTCGTCATGCTCTTGAAAGGCCCTACACTGAATCCCGACAACGTGCCTTTGGGAAGGAAATGAATGCGAAGGCTGTGAATTGGGCACAAGAACAAGTAGATAGATCATATTCCGATAGGTTTTCTGGGAGTAGAGAAATGCGAACCCACTCCTCCTCTGTGAGTATTTTTTTCCCTTATTGATTGTTTATGGATGTCATGCTTTCAAATCCTGTACCGGTCTATTAATGAGTTGTGATGACAGAATATTTCGGACCACCAGAACAGGCAAGCTTCAAAGTTGAGATATTCATACACTTCAGCCAAAGCTGGTAAGCTTTTAAGGGCCATTTCCATATTGTTTAATCATCTCATTAAACAATTTTATATACTTTTTTTGGAATGTTTTTCTCTCTTTTTGCAAATTGTTAATTTAAGTTGTTGTAGGTATTGAACTCGAATCGCCTCAGAGATGTAAAGCTCGGATAGAGCGATACCAAAGAACAGCTGAGCGTGCGGTATTTGACATCTTGTCTTTTTGTATGCGTATGGTATGGACGTGGGGAGGGTCATATAAGTATATCTTGTGCTTATTTTTTATCCATTTCAGGTCAAGGCTCTTGCAGAGAAAAGCATGCGTGATCTTATTTTTCAAAGAGAGCAAGTGGAGAGGAATGTATGTTGTATTCTCATTGACACAATTTACCTATTTAACAGCTTATTATGAATTACGATAAGATGGGGCAGCCACATCTGGTGGTCACTTGACTATTTTTTGTTAAATGTCCAGTAAACTAGCCAACTCTTTGCAAAACAGGTCACTAGAAAGATGATGTCTCATGTTGGACCAATTAAAACAAGTCATGAGGCACTGGCACCCGGGACATTATCTAATATCTCTTGTTACTATAGTCTCACTTACATAATGATCACTAGAATAATTATTTTCCAAGTCAGTAAGTTTTATTACATTCTTTACTGGTCCATTTGGAGAACAATAGAAGATTAGCGTGACACATAGGCTTTGGGGTGTCAGGGTGTTCTGACTACAAAACTTATCTACTTCGGTGATCATTTTGAAAGAAAAGATTAGTTATAGTGACTACAATAAGGCTATAGTTCAGTGACAAATCATATTCTTATTTCTAATCTTACGTGATGGTATGCTTGCAGAGATTGGCTGAAGCTCTAGACATTGAATTGAAGAGATGGTCTTGTGGCAAAGAAGGGAATCTGAGGGCATTGCTGTCAACATTGCAATATGTACGCATATATCCTTACTGAATGCATAGTTTCATACTTCTGCAGCTTTTGCCAATACGTATACATGTATGTTTTCAAGTTAGTTAATGTCAGTGAGATGTAGTTTATGATGATTATGTTGCTGGTGACAGGTTCTTGGAAGTGATAGCGGTTGGCAGGCAGTTTCACTGACAGAAGTAGTAACATCTGCAGCGGTAAAGAAAGCATACAGGAAAGCTACTCTTTGTGTCCACCCCGACAAATTACAGCAGCGTGGTGCAAGCATCCAACAAAAGTATATATGTGAAAAGGTCTTTGATCTTTTAAAGGTATGTTCTGTCATCTTTGAGTTCTGCATATGTATATACATAGAAGTGATAGAACTCAAAACACATGTGAAACATGGAAACATATAGTATGGACTAAAAAGGGGTAAATTTGTAATTTTCCAAATGTGTATTTAGTAACAGAAATGGGCCTAAAACGTTTTGGGGTGTTTCCTTTGTCTTGAAATGTGAAAACGCTCTTTCTCCATAAAGGTCTATTACATGGTAGGTCTAACACAGTGTTGAATGATGATGTGTTCTTGATGCGGAAAATGTGATGTAGCCATTATTACATCCCTTTTAATTTGAATTTTTTCTTTCTTGATTTTTAGGAAGCTTGGACCAAGTTCAACTCAGAGGAGCGTTAGCCTAAGTCATTTATTTATATCATGATGCACCTTTAGTTTGTGCAATTAGCAAGTCAGGGTGATTTTTGTCCCTGTCTGCCCATCTATTTTTGTCTGCTTATCTCTTACTCGTTAACTTTGTGGTGTGGTGTAGACTCTAATCTAGCTCTAGCTCTAGCTCTAGCTCCTACAGTTTTGGTTGGCAACAGATTTTGGGTGTGAAAAGGGTTCACACAAGGGGAAAAGGTATATGATATTCTGATGTGTTTCCAGAGCAGCAAAAATTGACTAGTGGCTAATATGTTTTTAATTCATTGGACCTTAGGCATTTGATTTGTCTTGTTCATAATGTCAACAACTGAACTACATCTTATAAATATTGTATGTTTGTTACTCACGAAGAGTCTATGTTTGACATCGATATCATAGATCGATTAAGGCTTGTATGTTGTTGTTGGTGTTACTCATGAAGAATATTCAATTTTTTTATTACAAAATGAATATTCCTTGTTCACTACGAGTATCACTTTTAAAATGAAGGTACCATTTGTGAAGTATGAGGTATTTAGATTTGATATTTCATTCTATAAGATTAATTTAATAGAAGTAAATTGTGATCTTATAGTTGGTTTTATATTTCATGCTTCGCTTGTAAGACAAATACTTAAGCATCATTTAGCTCAAATCAGGTTCGACTGTTTGCAGCTTGATAAATAGATCAAACATACTTTAAATAAGCAATATAAAACGTTGAGTTCAAATAAATGACCACACGTCCACACCACAAGTCCACGACTAGTTTTGATTTTGAAGCCATATCCAATTTGAGTTTTTTTTCATTTTCAAATTTCAAGTCTATAGGAGAAGCACACGATTTATATATTAGTTTGATGTTTATAAGTAGTACAAGAATGATTCAACACGATTCAAAGGCCAAATCAAATAATCAATTGTAAAATTTGCTGGGTGGATAAATGAGTAAACCGAACTTAAATGGAGTGCAATTTTGTTCACCCTCACCAAAGACAGTGCTTATACCGTGGGATCGGTGCATGGTGAGCACCATGCACCCTTTGTTATTTTCTATTTCTCCTTTTCTTAAAATTATTAATAATTTTTTTATTTTTGATCTGATTTTTATAAAAATTATATCAAATTTTTTTATTTTTCATGATCTTTCAAATGAGACCAATATTGCCTATGTAATTTTAATTTTTTACATTCATATATTTTTTGTAATATATTTTTATATGCATACACTTTTTCTATAATATATTTTTTATCACTTTTATATGATTTTAGAGGTTTTTAAGATATTGAGTTTGTTTATTTTGCTTCTAGCTTGGAGTTACATTTGATAATATACGAAGTTACATCATCTTATACTCCCAGTTACAAGTTATTATGTGTGAGTTACATCTTCTTATGTGTGAGTTACATCTTGCTATACACGAGTTACATACTTTTATGCGAGAGTTACATGTAATTATGTGTGAGTTACATACATCTTGTTATACACGAGTTACATACATTTATGCGCGAGTTACATGTAATTATGGATGAGTTATATCTAATTATTTGTGATTTTTTACTTATCTTTATCTTGAACTAATTCAATTATAACTGAATTAATTTTTTTCTTTGCCAATTTAATACAAAATTTTATTAATCCACATAAAATAAGTATATTGTATTTCATATTCATACACTATTTTTCAAATGATAAAAATGAAAGATGTAGCAGAGGTTTATTTAATGGTGTAACTCACATACATTAAGATGTAACTCGTGTATATTAAGATGTAACTCGCGTACAATAAGATGTAACTCGCGCAGAAGAAGATGTAACTTCCTGATATATTATCAAATGTAACTTCAAAATAATTTGTTAAAATTACATAAGCAATATTGGTCTCATTTGATAGATCATGAAAAATAATTAAAAAAATTGATATAAAATTTATAAAAATCGGATATCAAATAAAAAAGTTATTACAATTTTTAACAATAAAAAAAATGAATGGTGCGTCGTTTTGGGATCGGACGCACCATCCTCATGGTGCGCCGATCCCAGGATATAAACTACGCACCAAAGAGGGTGATGTTCACCCCACCCTAATTGCTTGTCATGTGGCTTCCCATCCCCCCTTTTTTTAAATCAATTTAATTTTTTATATATTGTTCAAATTTTATAGAAAAATATATCAGATTTAATAACTTTTTAAGATATTTCCAATGACATCAATATTGTATATAAAAAAGTTGGACAAAAAAAATCGCATTTTTATAAATATTAATTTCTAAGTGGATTTTTTTAATTTTTTATATGCAATATTGGTACCATATGAAAGATCTTTAAAAAATAAAAATTTTGATATATTTTTTTAAAAAATTGGATTAAAAATTAAAAAGTTAAAACAATTGCCAAATAATTTAGAATTGTCTTGACACATAGCAAGCAATTAGGGTGGGGGGTGAACATCTTTGATGAGGGTGAACAAAATTGCACTCACTTAAATGGGCTATTCTAAACATGGTGCCAAACAAAAATACCACTACTCATATCATATCATATTCTAAAATATTAACTTAATTGGAGAAGATTCCGGTCATTAGTTTAACTTAATACTTTAGAATGACAAACACTTCAATAATCTATATTAAGGATTGTTTATCAACATAAAACTTTTTTTCAACTTTAGCAAACAATAATTAATATTAAAGGTTGTTTATCAACATAAATATACTAGTATTTACTATTTTTATTTCCAAATTTAGCAAACATAAAAGAGAAAACGTGTTTACTTAACTAGTTTTAAATTTAGAAAATAGAAAATAATTCTCTATATCCTTTTTTAGAAACTAGATTTTCTTACACTTCCGCGAAGCAATAATATCATTTTGAACCACTGCAACGAACACATATTCCACAATGATGATGATTGTAACAACCTCGAACTATTGTAACGAGCACATGTATTAGTTGATGATTATAACAATGAGTGACCCTCATTACCACTATTAGTGATGTCACAACCCCTCCCCCACCTTACCCAAACCCACTTGTCCCACCCCACCCCATTGACCCTTATTGGACATTTGGACCTAATCAACTCCAACACAATATCTATGAGTAACACTATTATTACTACTTTGAATAATAGGTATTGTGTATTGACAATCTGTCAAGTAATTACTATCATTAACATCGTCGTTGCAATAAGATTACATGATAAGGTCGAGTACGAGTCGGTTTAGTAGGAGTCGTATTTTTATAATTCAACGCTGTTTGGATTTCAGTTACTTTTTGTATAATTCGACCGGTCTCTATTATGATACAAAATCATTAGGTATTCATAAGTTCAAGAAATTTCACACAACAATAGAATCACGGATATTTTGGGTATTGCTAAAACAAAATCTAGGCATCCACTCAAAACGAGTAATAATAACAAAGTTAAAAGTTGTAGACTTCAAATGCACAAAATTTTAAAAGTACAATCTTATTTTACACATTACATTTCAAACCATCAGTACTTATATGCCATTTAGAGTAGGGAAAACTGTCAATTACACCCTCGTACTATGGACGAATCCTCAATTGAGTCCTCCTACTTCGAAAACCTTCAATTGAATCCGCCAAGTCTCCAAAATCAATCAATTAGGTCTACATTACCGGTTGGTTCCCGGTTTGCCGGTTGCTTGCCTTCCTGGCGCTGACGTGGACTTTGACCAACCGGTTATATATTGGATTGACCGCCTACGTGGCACATGCAGTTGGCATTTTTTTATTTACTCTTTTCTATTTTTTCTTTTCCTTTTTCTTTTGGTATTTCCTTTGCATCTGCCTGCATCCGCATCTCCCTACGCGTCTGCAACTGCTGATTCATGAAGGTGGTGGTGGTGGCGGCTAACTGGCTATGGAGGCCGGTGCGATTGGAGCCTTGGAGGTCGTTTCAATGGAAGAAGCGGAGGTGGAAGCCGGAAGCGGTGGTACGGTGGTAAGGACGGCGGAGGTGGTGGCTATGGAAGCCGACGCGATTGGAGGTAGTTTCAATGGAGTAGGCGAAGGGGAAGCCAGCCACACAGGTGGTGGCCGGAGGCGGTGTGGTGTGTATGGCGGTTGAGGCCGGACTTTGGAGATCTGGCTATGGAGGCTGGGCGGCAGAGTTGGTGGCTAGAGAGGCCGGAGCAGCGGAATCCGTTCCAGTGGAATCGACGGAGGCAGCAAAAATGGAAGAAAGTAACCGGATTTCTGGTGGAGACAAGAAAGGAAGAAGAGAAGAAGGGGGAGCAGGATACTGGGAGAGCAGAAGAGGAACCGGCCAGGAAGAACGAAAGAAAGAGAAAAGAGAAGAGGAAGAGAAAAAGAAAAAAGAAAAGAGAAGAAAATAAATTAAAAAAAATCAAAAAACAGTAAAAAACCTAGCTAGATCAATTGAAGGCAAGCAACCGGCAAACCGGGAACCAACCGGTAATGTAGACCTAATTGATTGATTTTGGAGACTTGGCGGATTCAATTGAAGGTTTTCGAAGTAGGAGGACTCAATTGAGGATTCACCCATAGTACGAGGGTGTAATTGACAGTTTTCCCTTTAGAGTATAAACACTTTTCACCCATGGCCACACCTAAATCGCAATTTAAATAGGCATCAATTATTAGTTATTACACTAAAAAGAAATTCAAAGTATTATAAATGCATCCTACAAAATAAAGTAAAATTACACTCGCTCAACTTTTGTTTGCCCATCGGGGGCATACAAAATCAAACTTAATGGTAGTCGATAACTACAAAGTAACATAATTAAGTACGGAGTATATAGTTTCAACTTTCAAACTAGTATAGTACCCGTGCATACGCACGGGAAAGAGCAGTGGGTACATATATTTTTACTCATGATTTAATTAAATATTAAAATAAAAATAACTTTTTAGGATTTTACATTTTCGAAAAATAAAAGTACAATAAGCTAATTCCATAAAGTATAAGCTCATGCAATAAATATTAAATGAAGAGTATATTAGGGAAAATTTATTGATACCACTCATTAGAATTTGTTGCATGCTTATAAATTTTCATGATTAAATTAATTTTAAAATTAGATACTATTTTTAAAAAGTGAATACAATAAATGAGTGACACGAATTTTAAGTGAATACAATAAATATTAAAATTGACAAATATTAGTTAAATGAGAACTTCCTACTCATTAGTTAAATTAGTTCTAAAATATGAGAGAGAAAATTATTTTGCTCAATTGTTAGCCGGCTTATCTTATACGTAAATTAGTTAAAAAACTACATATGAGAGAGAAACGTTATCTCACTCGATTGTTAGCAAGTTTATCTTTCTATACCTAAAAGCACTACTTATAAGAGATAAAATTATGTTGCTCAATTGTTAGATCACATATCTTATACTTAATGAAAGGAACTACATATGGAGAGAAAGTAATCCCGCTCAATTGTTAGCAGACTTCTCTTCTAGCTAATACCTAAAA